CTTTTAGAATTAATGCATAAAGTCTATATAAACATGGGTCGAAAAATGCGTGGCTTCCGAAATACAGGGTGTTTAGATTTACTTTCTAAAATGTTTTTTTTTTTAAATAATTCGAACAATATTTGATGTATAACAGTGAAAATTGGTATACAAGGGTTTTTTGGTAGGACAAAACGAACCATGGGCATAGTTTTACTGTAGCCGCTAGAGGGCGCTCCCTACTGTACCTGTAGTGCATTAAAATGACCGAAACATTTTTCTTGTGCAATTTTTTGCCTTTTGAATAAAAAACTGATTCTTCGTACTTTTCAACATAAAAAAGCTCTCTTGTGAATTTTCGTTATAGTTAGCCGTTTTTGAGATATTTCGATGTTTAAGGTTCGAAGCATTTTTAATTATTTATGATAAAATAACGTTAAAAAGTCAGTATCTCGATAATTTTTAGAAGTAGGCTGTGCCTGCAAATATTTTTGAAATTGAAAGCAGAATAAGGTTAAACGTCAATAAGTTGACAGTTAGTTTTGTTGTCTGTTGAAACCTGAAACGTTTTTTTGCAATTGTGAATGCACGAAATTTAGTTTCCTTTACCTGTTTTTTTTTGTAAGTTTTATAAAAATGCCATTTTTATTCTCCAATCAAGAGTTAGCGGATATTCATTTTGTGTATGGCTTTGTAAATGGAAACGCAGCAGAAGCAGCCAGAGAATACGCACGAAGATTTCCAAACAGACGACATCCAACTCGCTCAGTATTTGTAAGAGTGCATCGCCAAATAATTGAAAATGGTTTTGGAAATCTCCAAAGGGATCAAAACATAAATGTTCGTCAGCGCAGATTTACCCGTATGATTCTGCGTGAGTTTGATAGAGATCCGACCACATGTGTTAGGAGAGTTTCTGGTGCCTTGGGAATTTCAGCAAGCCATGTTCACCGTGTTCTTAGAAATGACCATAGACGTCCTTACGATTTGCAACCTGTGCAAGGACTACAGCCAGGGGACAGAGAACGAAGAATCACATTTTGTCAGTGGATTCTTGGTAGAACTGATAATAATAGGGAGTTTTTAAGTAACATTTTATGGATCGACGAGTCATGCCTCACTAGACGTGGGATGGTAAATTTTCATAATCAACATATTTGGTCGCATGAAAATCCGCATGCAGTTCGGGAAAGAAATTTTCAGCATGAATTTGGTGTGAACGTGTGGATTGGTATCTACCGTAATCGACTGTTTGGACCCTACCTTTTGCCTGCAAGGTTAAATGCTGGGACCTTCTTGGAATTTTTAAAGGCTGAACATGCAAATATGTGGGATGATGTTATGTTAGATTTAAGAAGATTGGCCTGGTTCCAGCTTGATGGTTGTCCAGCTCATTATTCGAGAATCGTTAGAAACTGGCTGGACGAAAATTATCCAAAAAGATGGATCGGCCGTGGAGGACCAGTCGCCTGGCCTCCACGATCCCCTGACCTAAATCCATTAGATTTCTTTGTGTGGGGATTTCTAAAAGAAAAAGTGTACCAGACTCCCGTAACCACAAGAGATATGCTAATAAATAGAATCAGGAATGCATGTGATGAAATAAGGCCTTATTTGAATAATGCTATACCACGTTCGATCATTCGTAGATGTGAATTGTGTATTGAACAATCGGGTTTACATTTCGAGCAACTAATTTAGATTTTGTATGTTTGTCCTAACTATCCAATAGCATTTTAGTTGTAAATAATTAATTTAATTTGTTAAAAATAATATTGGAAAATTAAACAAATTAGTATTCTGTTTTTTTGTGTTTATTTGGAGTTAGGAATTATTGCTGTGTTTAAAAACACAATCTAAACGATCATCTTAATTACTTGTAATGCCCAAACCGAAAATGTAAAAAAAATATTATTTTCCCATAAATAATTAAAAATGTATCGAGCCTTAAAAATCGAAGTATCTCAAAAACGGCTTTACTATAACGAAAACTCACATGAGAGCTTTTTTATGCAGAAAAGTGCGAAGAATCAGTTTTGTTTATTCAAAAAGCAAAAAATTGCACTAAGAAAAAATTTTCGGTCATTTTACTACACTACAGGTTAAAGTAGAGAGCGCCCTCTAGCGGCTACAGTAAAACTATGCCCATGGTTCGTTTTATCGTACCAAAGAACCCTTGTATACCAATTTTGACTGTTATACATCAAATATTGTTCGAAATATTTTAAAAAAACTATTTTAAAAAGTAAATTTAAACACCCTGTATTTCGGAAGCCACGCATTCTTCGACCCATGTTTATCAAATCTTGAAGTTATGCAACAATAAACAGAAATACCCTGTATTGTATTTTGAAACTTGAAAGAGAAATATCAAGGAACTGGTTGAGAATTGAATTAAATTGTTTAACAGCATTGTATGAGAATGATCGTTGAAATAATGCACTACTATGAAGCGGCATAGTTAATTTTTTTAAATATCTTGCACTTATATCATGAACAGAATGTCGGAAAATTACGCGTTTTCTTATAGAATCAGGTGAATCTGGAGTGTTTATAATTTTTAATAAGAAACTAGAAAAATGGAGAGTGCGATGCTCATTCATTTTATGCCATTTAATTTCTTTATGCAAATGAGATATATAATCAAACCTACGCAGACCATATATTTATTTATTTACAAATTTACGGGATAAACCCATTCGGTTACAGGTTGTAAAAGTACAATCTTAACCTAATAAAATTCACACACATCATAAATAAAGTATCTAACATACGAACATAAAGTTTGACTATTTACTAAATTAAAATATTAAAACGTGCATAAAAAAGTTACAAACAAATACAAAAAAAAAAAACTGAACAACTAAACAACACAGCAAACATCACCAGCAATTAAGACATTTTAAAACTTTCTAAGACTAACTTTCTAAGATTTCTATCTTCAAGGAACTTTTTGAGAGAGCATAGTGAAGTATTAAAAAGGTCTATATCACAGTCATTACAATTTTTCATTATCCTATCCATGCTACTATTCGAGCCGTACAAAGTTCTATGCCGACAAGGTTCAAAGGATCTTCGTTCTCTTAAATGCCTAGGAGAAACATAAAAATTTAGCTTCAGAAGCAGGTCTGGGCAGTGGTAAACACCATGAATTAATTTATAAGCAAAAACAATATCTGCTGAATCTCTCCTGGCTCTTAGGGATCCAATCCTTAACTCCTTTTCAAGATCATTATAGTCTAAATTCTCAATAGAAATGTGTTTTTTGTAAGCTATATATCGTAGAAATTTTCTCTGAACCCCATCAAGCATGTCCTGATAAGTTACAAAATATGGAGACCACACGCTGCTGCAATTTTCTAGATGAGATCGCACCAGTGAAGTATAGAGAGTTACTATAGCTCCAATGTTAGTAAATTCAGATGTATTTCTTTTTATGAAGCCCAACATTTTTAAAGCTTTATTTCTTATAACCTCTATGTTCTGATAAAATGTTACTTTGCTATCAAATATAACACCCAGGTCTTTAACAACATACACATTTTGAGGTTGGGTATTATTTATGTGATAACTGCTGTGTATATTATTGTTAGACTTTGAAAATTGAATGTATTTACATTTGTCTGTGTTAAGGATCATTCTATTTTCTTCACTCCATTTAACAAATTGATCAAGGTCACTCTGAATCTTTAATGTTGAGTTATTATCAGAAAGAGGTAAATAGATCTTGACATCGTCAGCATAGATAAGAAAAGAACAGAATTTAAAACATTGGGCTATGTCATTGACAAAAATTATAAATAAAATGGGTGCCAAGTGCGCACCTTGTGGTACACCAGACAAGACAGCAATTGGATTTGAGAGACAGTTTTTAATTTTTACAAATTGCTCTCTTTCAGAAAGATAAGATCTTAACCAGTTCAATAAACTTCCATGCAATCCGTAACAAGAGAGCTTTTCAATGAGAATATCTATATTCAACTTGTCGAATGCTTTCCCAAAATCTGTATAAATTGAGTCAACAGATTGCCCATTTTCCAATGCCTCAACTATATGTGAATGATAAACTAAAAGGTTAGAAGTTATAGATTTTCCTTCACAGAAACCATGTTGCTGTGCAATTATAAGATTTTTAAATTTTTCCTTCAAAAAATCTGCTACAAATGATTCAAAAACCTTTGGAATTAACGATATCAATGTAATGGGCCTGTAATTTTCAACATTCTCTCGATTTCCACAATTTTTAAAAATTGGAATAATGTAGGAGGTTTTCCATTTCTTTGGAAAAACTCCCAGGGCTAAAGATTTATTAAATAAAATCCATAAAGGCCTAGACAGTGAGAAAGCACAGTTCTTAAGAAACAATGCACTCACACTATCAGGACCCGGTCCCTTTGACAAGTCCAGGCTAGCCAGCTTTTCACAAATATCAGAAATTTTTATATATACACTGCTCAAATTTAAGTTTGGCGAGCTGAAACTTTTTGCAACAGTGCTAAGGCTCTGTGAAGGACTTGGTGTTTCATATACACTAGAAAAATGTTTAGCAAAAGCATTTGCAATTTCTTTGCCGCTATCAAAAGTTTCCTCATTATACTTAACAATTGATGGAATACTATTTTGATTATTTTTAGACTTAATGAACTTCCAGAAAACATTAATATTACCTTTTAGATTATTGTCAATATTTTTTATATAAAGACTATAATCTTGGTGAACCTTTTCTTTGCACAATCTGCGTAAACGACAGAATAAACCATAATCAATATTAGAATTAGTTCTCTTATATTTTGCATGCGGCTCTTTTTTTCATAAATCATAGTTTTGAGTTCAGGACTAAACCATGCAGGAAATTTAAAATTACTTTTTATTAGCAATCTTGGCACATAAGTATCAATACAACCATAGAGAACAGCATAAAAGCATTCAACATCATTATCCAATTGATCGACCAATAAGGCATCCCAGTTAAAATTAATTAATAAATTGTTGATTACATTAAAATCTGCATTTTTAAAATCTTAGATTTGTTCTTCAAATTGCAAAGGTTTATAAGAGCTAATATTTTGTATACTTACAACAAATGCTTGGTGATGTTTGTCACATGGCAGAAGCATATCATTAGCACAATTTACTTTAGTAAAATTAGAATTATTGGTAAATACAAGATCTAGTAAAACATTGTTACAATTTTTTATCGAGTTTATTTGAGTGCAGTTAGAAATCAGCATGGAGCTAACAAGAAGAATCACCGGAGGCATTCCGTCTACCAATACCACTATCATGGAGGTTGGTTTCATCCAACATCTGAAGATGGGGCAGGTTGTAATCTCCCATGATGTACATGACATCAGAGCTATCACTGAAGTTTTCAATATTGTTGCAGTGATTTTCATATTCCACCAAATTGCTAAGGGGAGGAAAATATACTGCACAGAAGTAGGTGGACTTAATTTTACCAATAGATACAGAGACCCACACCTCTTCATGCCCAGATGTCAAATTCCTCAATTCGACATGGTGCGATTTTAAACTTTTTGTGATCGCAATTAAAACACCTCCTCCTCTGGATTTGCCTGTTGCTATGTTGTCTCTGTCACATCTATAAATTGAGTAGTTCTGTAGCCCTAGTTCCGAGTCATTAAACTCTGGTGTTAACCAGGTTTCACTAAGTATATCATACGATGCCATGGACACATTGTTTGAAAATTCATTCAACTTAGTTCTGATGCCTCTAATGTTCTGGTAATAAATCCTAATATCATTGATAGGGTTAATTCCTGCGCCGTGGCTGGGCCTGCCTTTTAAAAAAGCGTCTACCTTGTGCTGATGGTAATGGTTGATTTCTTCTAGGGAAATTGAATGGCTTGACAATCACATTTTCAGGGCATATGTCGCTATTAAATAATGTATTCTTGATACCAGGTTTCACGGAGAGGCCTGAGGCACGCATTTTGCACCTTTAGAATCCGACCTCTACTTGCCTGATCTAAGCAAAGACAAAATCGCAATAAGTAAAATTGGAAACAATTAGGGATTCACACAATTTTTTTTAGTGATCTGTTTAGTAAGTGTCTGTTATACAAAACTTTTAGAGAACAAAATGATTTTTGTGTAAGATTTTTTTGGTGATTTTTAAATCTAAGCTGAGAATCTAAAACTATACCGAGATTTTTTGTACTTTCAACAAAATTCAATTTTGAATTATTAGCCATTATATTGAGATTAGCTCATTCTTAGATTTGTTACCAAAAATCATTACACGTGATGTTTCCGGAGTCAGTTTTAAGTTGTGACCTAATGGGAGATTGTTCATTTATACGTATGTCCTTGCATAAAACATTTGACAGAGTTTTTTAATGACGAAATTTATTTATTTATAACACTAACTAGTTTTCATAAATTACAACTCAACACTTAACTAAACTATACCATGGAATTATGTGGAGGCGCCCATTCTGCTCTACCAGACGCAACTTTCATCGGATGTCTCTCATTATGTCTTGGGCGGAATTGAGATCAGCTTCTCTCAGTTTTTTGTGAATTCGCTGTCTTAATTGCTCTTTATCTTGGGCTTTCCAGCCTCCATAATAAACCTTCCTAGTCAGGTAAAGCCCAAGAATCTTCTATTGGGCTATTTATAAAAAAAGCGTGACAAATTTCGGGCAAGTCCCAACTACGAGAACGCCCTGTACATTGACATTTTCCAATCAAGACGCTTAAAGCATCCCAGAAACCGGCGCGAAATAATCGCGGCGAAGTATTCGCAACGAAATTCAGAGCGAAATTCGCAATCTGTTTCGCCTGTTTATTCATACCAAAGCGTCTTATTCGCTCCGCGAACGTGAAGGTTTCGACAGGTTGCGTACATTTTATTTTTGCCTTTTGCAATGAGCTCGTCTTCAGAAGAAGAGGAGGCACTTCTATTTCTTGCTTTAGAAGAGGAACAAAATGCACGGTAAGTTATGTTTATTTAACGCCATTTGATAGTTGGGTATGTATTAAGTTTAACGAAGTACATAAAACAAATATTTTCAATTTTGTTTAGGAAACGAAGGAAGTGGGTACATGATATTAACTTGGAACGAAATAAATTTGGCGAATACCATACATTGATGCCACAACTTCGGCTGGATGAACAGCGCTTTTACGTATATTTTAGAATGACTCCAGAGTGTTTCGATGAAATATTGAACTTGGTGAAAGATGAAATACGAAAATCTGACACAAATTATCGTGAAGCTATTTCGCCAGAAGAACGACTTGCTATTACACTCAGGTAAAAAAATTATATGTATTAAAATTAGTAGGCTTATCGAATACGAAAACTTCAGGGATCGTGAAATAAATATTTTATTGTAATAATTGGACTACATGTTGCCACTAGGATTAAATGTTGCTAAATAATTCGAGGCAGAATTTGCCTCCTCTGTTGGGTATATTATTGGAGTAAACCCAGTGCCGCTTGGGAAGGACGACATACTACTATCATACATACTTGCAGAATTCTGGGTAGACGCTGAAGACATTTCTTCAATATGTTCAAATTCTTCGTGCGCTATTAATTCGGCTATTTTTAGTTTTATTCGGGATTGACGCTTTAAGGGAAGTGTTTTCACAGTCTGTGCATGTGCCAAGAAAAGTGAATCAATGGCCTCGTTCTCTTTTTTAGGTTTTTTACCTTCAAAATAATTAATGAGCTGTTGTACAGACGAAGATGGTGGTTCATAGCGTTTTCTGCTCGTTTTATATTTTGGTGTAGTTGCAGTCTGCGGAAAGGTGTGCCCTGGAGTAGTCACTGCTGTAGTGTTCAATGAAGAAGGTGGTGCTGTCTGTGTTGCTGAGGCGTTCTGTGCATCTTCTGCATCTACATCAGCATTTTCATCTTCTCCATGGCCGCGGTCTTCCAAATTTTCGGTTTCTACATTTCCAGCCCTTTCCTGATATATATTTGAGTTAAATTCGACAGTCTCATAATGTATGACGTCAATATCTTTCACGTTAGACGACGTTTTGGCAAATGCCAAAAAAGGACGGAAAAATTCCATGTAGTCAGCCCTCTGCCATTTCTTTATGTTGCCCACTGCTTGGCCGGTCTTTGGTTTGGTAGATTTTATATATTTTGCAAATGTGTCTCTGATATTCTTCCACCTTTTTTTTACTTCATCACCTAAAAACGATTTTTTTTATAGATTTCTTGCCACTGGTGACACCTTCTATACCATTGGGCATAGCTTTCGAGTTGGCTTTACAACAGTGAGTGCAATCGTAACCGAAGTCTGTGAAGCGATATGCAGACATATGGAACATATATGTTTACCAGAACCAACAGAGAATATATGGAAAAAATGTGCTGAAGAATTTGAAAATAGATGGGGTTTCGCAATTGCATTGGCAGCGTGGACGGTAAACATGTAACAATCAAGAGACCTAACAACAGTGGCTCCAATTACTGGTGCTATTTACATGAATATTCAATAGTACTTATGGCCATTGTTGGCCCGGACTATAAATTTATATGTGTTGATATTGGTGGTTTCGGAAAAAATAGTGATGGGGGTATTATCGGAACCTCAAACATGGGAAAACGATTTGAACAAAATTTAATGAGTGTCCCTGCACCTAGATTTCTCCCTGGGCAAAATGAAATCTGCTCGTACGTCTTAATTGGTGATGAAGCATTTGCTTTAAAACCATACCTTATGAGACCATTTCCTTATAAGCAGACTTTAACAGACGTCAGAAAAGAGAAATACAATGTAAGACTTTGTCGAGCTAGAAGGGTCGTGGAAAATGCGTTTGGTATTTTGTCTCAAAAATGGCGAATATTTTACAGGCCATTAGACACTAAAGTAGATACTACTATTCTAATTGTACGTACGGCATGTATTTTACACAATTTTTTACGAAGTAAAAGTGGCGATGACAAATATTTTCAATTCTTAGATCCCCCAGAACCCGTGCTTGGAGCTTTTACTGATATAGCAAATGATCCTCGGCGGGCAGCAAGACTAGCATTTTCTACTCGTGACAAATTCGTAAATTATTTTAATTCTGATATGCCTATGCCCAATATATAGAATGTTCGTTTTCACATTTGTGTAGACTGTAAATTATTTAACAAGTTAATAAAAAATATTAGGTACATACCATTTGTATTTGATTCTTTTCCTATTTCGATCCAAATCTTGTCTTTCTTTCTCACATTCCTGTATTCATCGTTCGACAAATCATACAAACAAGGATACTTTTTCACTATTTCTATCAATAATTCCGTTTTTGCCATTGCGAATTTTTGAAGAACGGCGTCAAAAACGCGGTCAAAGGCGAACTGAAATACGCCGCGATAAAAACGCTGGAACAATCGCATTCGCTTCGCACAAGTCTGAGCCTGTCCGTAAACCGTCGCGTTTTAATCTGATCGCGAATTCATCGCCGCGAAATTTTCGCAGCCAAAGCGAATATTTCGCGCCGGTTTGTGGGATGCTTAAAGCGTTTTTGACGCCGTTCTTCAAAAATTCGCAATGGCAGAAACGGAATTATTGATAGAAATAGTGAAAAAGTATCCTTGTTTGTATGATTTGTCGAACGATGAATACAGGAATGTGAGAAAGAGAGACAAGATTTGGATGGAAATAGAAAAAGAATTAAATACAAATGGTATGTAACTATTATTTTTCATTAACTTGTTAAATAATTTACAGTCTACACAAATGTGAAAACGAACATTCTATATATTGGGCATAGGCATATCAGAATTAAAATAATTTACGAATTTGTCACGAGTAGAAAATGCTAGCCTTGCTGCCCGCCGAGGATCATTTGCTATATCAGTAAAAGCTCCAAGCACGGGTTCTGGGGGATCTAAGAATTGAAAATATTTGTCATCGCCACTTTTACTTCGTAAAAAATTGTGTAAAACACATGCCGTACGTACAATTAGAATAGTAGTATCTACTTTAGTTTCTAGTGGCCTGTAAAATATTCGCCATTTTTGAGACAAAATACCAAACGCATTTTCCACGACCCTTCTAGCTCGACAAAGTCTTACATTGTATTTCTCTTTTCTGACGTCTGTTAAAGTCTGCTTATAAGGAAATGGTCTCATAAGGTATGGTTTTAAAGCAAATGCTTCATCACCAATTAAGACGTACGAGCAGATTTCATTTTGCCCAGGGAGAAATCTAGGTGCAGGGACACTCATTAAATTTTGGTCAAATCGTTTTCCCATGTTTGAGGTTTCGAAAATACCCCCTTAACTATTTTTTCCGAAACCACCAATATCAACACATATAAATTTATAGTCCGGGCCAACAATGGCCATAAGTACTATTGAATATTTATGTAAATAGCACCAGTAATTGGAGCCACTGGGGTTAGGTCTCTTGATTGTTACATATTTACCGTCCACGCTGCCAATGCAATTGGG